ATAACAGTAGAACACAACAAAAAATAAAAATGAAAACAGATGAAAATCCAGTTAATAAGATATGATTTCACTTACTGGGAGGCTAGACACAAAGGTTTAGCCATTTCTTCCATTTCTATCACGGTATCTGATGCGCAATCTGAATCTGAAAAAACTGAAAGTAAACCAGTTAGGCATGTACATGCAGTCGAAATACACAACATGTAAAAGTCAAGCTTGATAAAACGAACAATGTATTCGATTTAATTTTAGTCAAATTCTCAGCTTCTCCCTTGTGTTAATAACGGATCAACTACTACACGCGTAAAACTGAATGGTGGTATTTTTTTGGACTCTGGAATAATAATTTGACCACCTTAAAGCCTGGTCGGTCATGGTTATGGTTATTCAGAGCATATAACATTGATACAAATTTCTTGACTGGTTGTCCTGCCACACAGACGTATTTCAATGGAACGTGTCAGCTACGAAACGTACTCAACTCTGCCCAATGCTTCGAACTGTCAAGCATGGGATAAATAAACCCTCTGCCGCTACACATGCCTACAGTTAATCGTAGGAACACCAAATTCACTCGTCCTTCATCGAATTCTGTTTTGGAATTTCGATATCTCTGACTCCAATATCGCGCTGACATATCGCATAAACTGAAGCATGTTATTTATATTATTCGATTACGGCAAGCTCCCACGAGTCAGCAGGATGTATTTTCGGTTGCTTTGAAGCAAAAGCAGCCAAGTCTTCATGGAGGAAGGCAAAAAACTTGCGGCAGAAGAACAGGCTGAAATTTAGATAGCGGCCAGCAAGAGGTAGTAGTACTGACTCAGTTCACTTGTCAGACAATGCTACCCTCCCCTCAGAGGTCGCTCAGCTGTTGCTGTCACAGAAACATTTGTTTATGTCTGGAAAGGTGCACTCACAGCTTGATTCCCTCGTGTTACTAATTTTAACCGCGGATCCTATAGAAAGAGGAAAACAGCATCTTTGAGCAGGAAGCTTTTCTAAAGCTGTTCGATTTGCTGAATTCATTCATCCAAGTACATGGCTAAAACGCACATTGATCAAACATGAAGCTGAAACATTCCTTGAGTTACCACACGCCGCAGACTATATTCGAATGTAGCTAACACTTGGTTCTGCCATTTCTGACTTTAATTCTTCGATTAGTAGTTTTCCAACAACTATCAATTCATCTTCATCACAGCAAACAGATGGTAGTTAAGTAGACGAATATGTGGCAGTGTGAAATTCAGTGAAGTTTATCCCCTTTGGTCAGTACAATAGTCGTGAATGCCTGTCATAAACATTGAAACAATCAGCCTACGAATCAGGTGTCATTACCCAGTAGTAGATAAGGCCAATGCCGTTTAGTCGATTAACCATGAAGCCCGTCTTTAACCACTGATTCATGGGCAAAACCTTGTCCTTTATTGGCAAATCTTATGTAAATGAATCTTCATCTTCATCTTCATGTAGATGAATTCGAATGACATTTTCAAGAACATATTAAAACGCGATTGGATATCACTACTTCATGCACCTCCGGACTCGTACGGCAGCTCTAAGCTAGTCACGTACTTGCCTTGTACAACTAATACCAGTCTAGCTATTATTTACAAAGCATACCTCCTATCAGTTATGTATTACACAAATATGCCAAGATATCAGAGTTTGTTAACAAAGGAATAACCATCAAGAATGAAATTTTGCAGAGTATTGTACCGTTAGCTGTTTCGAAATACAAAGGTATCGATTTAAGCAGAAAGTCACTCCTTAACGGTTGACAATATGCATGGCATAGACGTTACTTGCATCGTTTCGTCTGGTGGATAAACAACTTGTGGGTGATCAGAGGTGTTTAATGGGCTGCCCTTTCTCGCAAGCATAACCAATAAATTCTTCATTAAATCCTGAAAATGGGGACGCAGGGAGAAAGTTGTTCCTCTGCCTTGTAACATACTCCAGCTCAAGCATATTTTGAAATTCTTGCAAGTTTCTAGACTTTTACAAGATTTTTCGCTGAATAAACACCTCTATGGGTAAACGAAATATTTCTTACCCAATAAAATAACGCAAACCGCATTTAGCACTTCCGTTTATCCACCTAGCACAATTTCGCGGCGTACTTAAATGACCCCAGAAGAAATACAGCAGGCATGCGGCGGCGATGTTCGCTTATTAACCATGAAAAGTATACCCACATGACGATCCTGGTTTGTAGTTATAGAACCCGTTGGATTTTAGCATCATCCTACTTCCATGTGTACCCTGAATCATGAATCGGTCAAGAAGGATGCATGCGGTCTACGACGCCCTGGCGCGCGTTGATTCGGCACAGACAGCTGGTTGCCAGTCGTCGCAATAGAACTGCAGTCAGAAATCCGCAGCTGTCACAACGAAATCGTACTTTACTCAGCGAGAACTTCCCATTGATACATATCATGAGGGCTAAATCAAGTACTTTATGCAGCTGACCACTGCCCAGTTGTACAGATTCAAATTGGTAGTCACAGGACTGAGCAAAGACAGCTATTAGTGAGCGGTGTGCACCCAAACAACCTTCGCGAAAACGCCCGATTTCGTAAGCCAGCTATTTCCGGAGGTAAAGAATCCATATTCCCTTACAGAATTTTTTGAATACCATGTGGTGCTTAAATATAATCCAGCCTTGAATAACTTATATGATTCTTTCCAACATGCTTCAAGAAACATCGGAACAACACTAATTTAACCCTCATGCATTTGTATGAGAGTTCTCTGAGGCAATGTTTACGCAAACCAATCACAGTTACAACATATTTAAAGTTTTTGTA